TGGCTTATTATTTTATATAATTAATAAACATTTTTATACAAAGATGCATTGGTTTTATATATTTACATATGTCATAATATTTACTTTATAAATTAAAATCTTATTAAAAATTCTTAGTGACAATAATAACAATTATTATTATAACAATAAAATGCTCGTTCCTTAGCCTATCTTTTCTAGTCACTCCACTCATCCGTCTAAGCATTCTCATCTCTGCTACACTCATTCTCTGCTCTAATTTCTTGTCAACCGCCCAACACTCTGAACCGTACATTATAGCTGGTCTCACTGCAGTCTTGTAGAATTTATTTTTCAGCCTCATTGGAATTCTTTTATCGTACAAGACACCAGACGCTTCTCTCCACTTCAACCACCCGCATTTAATACTGTGTCTTACATCCTTGTCAATACCGCCGCTCTTTTGCACATCTGTTCCTAAATATTTGAAACTTTCCACTTCTCCAATCACGTCCTCGCCTATTGTCACTGGTCTCCTTATTTCAGCTACCTCGTGTTCTCCTTTATCAAACTCGTACTCTATATACTCTGTCTTACTCCTACTTATTCTTAAACCATTTTCTTCAAAAGCTGTTCTCCACACCTCTAGTTTTTGATTAATGTCCTCCCTATTATTCTCCTATTATCACTATATCGTCAGCAAACAACATGCACCACGGCATATCTCCTTGTATTTCTCTAGTAATTTCATCCATCACTAGAGAGAATAAGTAAGGCCTTAAAGCAGAACCTTGGTGTACTCCTACTCTTTCCCTAAAACCTTCCGATACTCCTTCCACACTTTATACCCTAGTACAAGTATCATCACATATATCCTTTATTATATTAATGCACCTTTTTGGGACTCCTTATCTCATCAATGCCCACTTTAAAACCTCTCTTGATACTCTATCATACGCTTTCTTCAAATCTATAAATACCATAAGTAGGGTAAAATAGAGAGTTCTGCGGCCCCCCCCGCCTCACCCCATTCACCCACCCACCGGTATTGTGGGCGGGCGGGGGGGAAGAGCGTGTCATACAGTTGGCGTGGTCTCTCGAGGGTGGGGTAAAGTCAAGGTCACACAGTGGGCGTGGTGTCTCGATGGTGGGGTAATGTCAAGGTCACACAGTGGGCGTGGTCTCTCGATGGTGGGAGTAATGGTGGATCGCATTCATGAGGGTGGGGGTAAGGAGAAGGCGTGGTCTTATCATTGATTGGGTAAGGAGTGGCGTGGTCTTATCAATGATTGGTTAAGGGTAGGCGTGGTCTTATGACGGTGGGGGTAAGGAGTAGGCGTGGTCTTATCATAGAGGAGGCGTGGTCTTATCATAGATAGGGTAAAGGGAGCCGTGGTCTCACTATAATGGGAGTAATAGGTAACTTAGGTAGGGGTCTTAAGGTCAATGAAAATGGCGGATTAAAGTGCGCATGCGCACTATAACTTCATGTCAGTGGTGGGGTAGGTAGCCATATGGTTGTCTCCTCCTACGATGTCATCTACTGGAGGGTAAGGTAAACCTCATGTGAACTGATAACGGTAACTGATAAGTGTACGTGTAAACATACACATCACATTGAAATAGTGTACGTCATATAGTGGCCGCCGTTGTCACTATAACATATTTACTTAATATTAACGCAGCAGGGGTGTCCGTCAACAATTCCTATACAGGAAAGGGGTAATGAAACATAACATAAACTAACCTATAATGTGTGGGGATGAATCCAACTATATTATTATTACTACTATATTATAATGCTCATAGACGTCAGCATTTTATGAGAACAATGACAATGTTTGTCGTTGTGGCATAATTTCTAAGAATTTTATCATTGCCTACCAGACTCTTAGATAAGCATACTTCCAACGTCAAAGGTACCGCCTATTATAACCCACATTACCGTCTACATTTAATAAAAACAAAGACAACGTCTGTTGTTATGGCATAATAAATTCTAAGAATTTTATCATCGTCTACCAGACGCTTAGGTCAGCAAATTTCAAATATCAAAGAAGTCACCGCACAGTCATGTCGTATGAATCTTATCATGGGTAACCAGACGCTTAGGTAAGCATATTTCCAACATCAAAGGTACCGCCATATTATAACGTTCATAGGCGTCTGCATTTTTNATAATAAATTCTAAGAAATTTATCATGGGTAACCAGACGCTTAGCTAAGCATATTTCCAACATCAAAGGTACCGCCATATTATAACGTTCATAGGCGTCTGCATTTTTATTTTTTACATAGTATTTTATCATTGCCTACCACCAGATGCTTAGAAAAACATGCCTTCAAGATGGCCGTGCCTTCAAGACACGGGCTAGGGCATTGCTATCCGATACGGATATCGGGTGTGCGGTCGATGAAGATTTTGAGGTTATGCTTGCCGAGGAAGACGCGTACTCGGGTAGGGGTAGCGGATTCACGCTAACGCATATCGACGGCCTTATGCTCAGCGTATACAAGTATACGCCCCTCGCCGGCTCATCATATATTCCTGTCCCACCAGAGATTAACCAAAGAAAAGCAATCATCAACCCACAGAATATCGATCAGTCTTGTTTCAAGTGGTCCATTTTGGCGAGACATGTTAGCGGGGGTAATAAATATCGCGTTGATCGAAAATATTTTAATGAGGAACACAGGTATGATTTTACGGGGTTGACGTTCCCCACACCTGTGTCCCAAATTAAAATATTCGAGCGACGAAACCCTAACGTGTCTGTCAACGTGTACGGCTTGGAACGAGACGACTATAAGATGAAGTGGTTGGTGTATCCGCTAAGAGTCGCCGACCAAGAGCAACAGAATCATTTTGACCTGTTGTACATCGGTGACTCTGAAAAGTCACATTACGCATACATTTCCGATTTTTCGAGGCTTGTGCGCAGCCAAAAAACCAAACACCTAGGTCGCATATACACTTGCAAACGTTGCTTCACCAGCTTTGATGATCAGCCTAAAAAGCATGTTCTTAGGGGTCATCAAGCGTTGGAGCAACACAAGTTGATATGCGGCAAGAACAAGCCTATTTTACCCGTTATGCCGGCGGAGGGCAGTAAGGTTGAATTTGACGCGTGGGTAAAGACGCAACGGTTACCGTTTGTCATCTACGCCGATTTTGAGGCCTTGCTGAAGAAAACAGACGATCGTATGGGTACATACACCAGGACTGTGCACACCCACCATCCCATGAGCTATGGGTTTATGGTGAAAACATCGGACGATATGCCCTCGGAGCTCCTCGAACGCTATGGTATACCACAATCACCGGTGATATACCGTGGGTCCGAGGATCGCGAAGAGGTCGCCAAGGCATTTGTGATGGCTGTAACTGAAGTGACGCGTAACATTTCTAAATTGTTGCGCAAAACCAACGTTCCCATCCGAATGTCTGTCGAAGATGTGCGCAGGCACGGGGAGAAAGTGGTATGCGACTTGTGCTGCACGGCATTCAAGGATTCCAACCCCAAAGTCGCAGACCACTGCCATTTATCGGGGCGATTCAGACAGACGTTGTGCAATGCGTGTAACCTGAAAGTGAAGACGGTCAACTTTGTGCCGTGCTTCTTGCACAATCTTTCAGGTTACGACGCGCATTTCATCGTCACTGAATTGGGGTACGACGACCAAAGGATTTTGGTCATACCGAATTCCGAGGAGAAGTATATTTCGGTCTCCGAACACGTGACCAATAACTTCTCCATACGGTTTGTCGACACCTTCCGATTCATGGCCTCCTCCCTGTCTACCTTGGCCGGTAACCTAATGACACCCAAATTTGTTAAATTCCNGCCGGTAACCTAATGACGCCTGACTTTGTTAAATTCCGGGAGACGGCCAAGGTGTTCCGCCCGGAAGACATGCCGTTGGTGACGCGTAAGGGCGTATACCCCTACGAGTACACTGATAGTTGGGCTAAATTGGAAGAAACGGAACTACCACCTCAGGACGCTTTCTATAGTCAGTTGAGTGAGTCTAATATTTGTCGTAACACAGGAAAGAGAAAAACTAAGTGTAAGTGTGAATGAGTAAAAGGTGTAAATGTGTAACTGTGTGTACGAAGATGAATATGAGGAGGTGGTGCCTGCTGTCTAGGTATTCACGTGCGTGTTGTCGTACAGCAGTCACCGTGCTCGGCTGACACTCCGGGTTAGCTGTGGGTGTCGAAAGGCTGTTGTTATAGGAAGGGAGAATAAGAGTAACACCTAGGTATGAGGTGCAGACGAAGTGCAAGACACAAATAC